GGGGGGCACAATGATGACTGTTCTGGAGGGGACAGGTAAAGTTCTTGAACCATAGTCACAAATGTATTTATGATATACTGATGGAGTTGGTTCAGACCTGGCATTGGACGCTCATCTCTGATTGCCCCAGGGCCACTGGTGGTGGCTGCCTTCCTGCTGATCATCTTCAGCCTCAGACACAAGCTAGAATCTAATAGACATAATGGCAACAACCTTTATATATTGCAGCATCTTCCGCTAAACTGGGACTGATAGAGACTACAAGAGGATTACTTCCCGGAGCCGGTAAGGAGAAACATCAGCACCATGTTATAAAACGACACAATGGGGGAGATTTATCAAAACTGGAGCAGACAAAATCTGGAGCAGCCGTGCACGGCAACCAATCAGCTTCTCAGTTTGTTCAGTTAAGATTTGAAAATGAGGGCAAGGCGCTGATTGGTTGCCATACACAGGTGCTCCAGTTTTGATAAATTTCCTTCAATGCGTATAAAGCAGTGTCATAACACAGGGTCCCATCATTGGCAGGAGGATCTCAACGCCTTCCGCGCCTGATTGGAGTTGGTTTAGCCAAAGAACTCATCTTCACCGGGCGACAGATCGAAGGGACGCAGGCTTATAACATCGGACTCGTGAATGACGCCATTCCACAGAATGAATCCAAGGATGCTGCACATAAGAGAGCCTTGGAGCTGGCCCAGGAAATCCTGCCACAGGTAATATGCATGTTGGCTTTCTCATCACTTTCTGTTCCAGTAATAATGGTCTCCGTGACAAATAGTAAGGTTGAATCTCTGCAGTGGGGACAGCAATAAAAACCTGACAGAGATTTCAGCACTTCGCCACTCTATACAAAACCAAAACACAAGTTTTGGCTAGATGTACTTTATAGGGACCTGGCTAGAATAGTAGAAAAGGTTGAACTAGCAGCAACGTATAAAAGAAGATTAGTAAAACTTACTTGTCCAGCAAATGAGGACTCCAGGCTTTGCTCTCTTGCAGAGCTACAGCCAATGCTGGTATGCAACACTTCTGGGTGCACTGGCTGGTCCCCGGCTGTACATTGGGGTTTGTCGAGTCAGTTGGCCGAATCAAAGGAATCAGGTTTGCCAGCTATATCAGTACTAGCAGTGGCCGCCTGCAGATATTCAGCCAGTACTGTGCTTTCTTGATAAAAAAGCAAGCTTGGTATATAATGTAAAGTTAATTAGTAGAGACCCTTAGTGAAAAAGCTTGTCACTTGTGGAGGATGCACGGAGATAGAAGTTGGGCTTTAGATTTCTGATAGGTTACAGATCTGTTAAACTCCCTTTGCTCTCTTGCAGGCTCCGGTTGCTGTCAGAATGGCTAAGCTGGCAATGAACAAAGGAATAGAGGTAAACCGACACTTGCAGTGCAATTTCAATTCAGAACATCATCAGTATTCACTTAATTTGTCATCTTATTCTCCATTTGTATTCTGTGTCACACCACTGACCTGGCGGAGTTAAGGGCGGGGCACGGTAGGGGTCAGGTGGGGCGACTGGTGGCGAGTAACTCTTAAGGTCTGGCTAGTAGCTCAGGACTTGAAATTTTGAGCCCTGCTGTATATGTTTCGCTCCTCCTGGGATTTTTGCTGTGTGGTTTGGTGCCACTGCAGAAATCTCCCAGGCAGGCTCTTCCATGTCACAATCTCTATTCATTCCCATACAGAGACCATTGACCATTGTCCATCAGGACACTTAATACACAGCAACTTGAATGACTGGAGATTAGATTAGTCACTCATTTCCCTGCCCTTTGTACTTTGCTTTCAACAACCAAGCCATTAAGCCCGTCCTTCTCTGTGGGACTACGCGGCCGTAAGCCCCCCTGCGCTCACCTCAAGTGCGGGTCCGTAGGGGTGCGCGTTTTCCGGCTCGGACGCAAACAGGATCCATCTTGTTATTGTACGAGTACGCTCACCCGCATGGACGTGCAGGGCGGGTGAGCGTACGGACCGCATAGTCCCATAGAGAGCGACGGGGGCTGCGTACTTATCACACGCAGCACCTGTCCTTCCCGGGAGCTGCTCGATACGGCCCTGCACAGAGCTGTAGGTGCGTGCCGATTCCAGTGTGAATGAGGGCTAAAAGCCAACAAGGGGGGGCAGGGAAGGGGATAAAAGGGCCTTTGAGACAACAGGTCTTCTCTTAGCGGTAGACGCCAAGCAGCATCCACTACCAGGCAAACAAGATCCGCGTACCATGACCTGTGATGCCAGTGTGGAGCCACCAGGATCACTGAAATTCCCTTGTCCTCCGTAATGATCATGGCAATTGTTTGACCAGCAGCTGTGCGAAGAGCAGCGTGTAGCAATCTCATGGAGCAACCAATGCGTCCACTGAGTCTTTTGCTCTTGCTACAAACCTGTCTACCTTCCGATTGAGACTTGACATCTGGGGTCCCCAACACTGACAGTTATGCTGGAAGCCATCAGAATGAAGGGCCCACTCTCTCTGATCTAGAGTTTTTTTTGCTCAGATAATCCACATTGATCCTCTGCCCAGTTTTGGATGTGGGACACTTCCAGTGCTGCAGCTGCGCTCTTGGTCCTCCCCAATGGTTTACTTATGTCACAACTGAAGTGTTGTCAGACTGTACCCGTACAGGGTAAGCCTATTCCTGAGGGATTTGATTAGCACTGACACCAACCCCTTCTCTCTTGGAGCAATGTTGAGGTGAACTGTTAGGTTATGGCTACGCGGAGATACAGATGCTGAATCTGACCCCTCATTCGTCCCGGAGGCTGCACCTGACACCACTCTTCCTCAAAATCATCCGAGAGCACATTTGGATGTGTTTAATTCAGATGGGTAAAGGCACGCTCCACCTGAGAAACAAAACCTTCCAACACGGCCTTAAGAAAATCCATGGCTATGGCTGGCCCTTGGTGGCCTAAAGGTGGGAGAGGAGATCCCAAGGAGCGAAGTGATACTGCAGGCAATGACCCCTTGCAGCACTGCACCACATTTAGAACAAAATGGATCCTTCTCCTGCAAGCCCCCGTAGAGGCCTGTCCCTCTTTTCTGACATGCTGGCCCAGCAATACCCATCAGACTTAGTCTGTATTAAGTAAGGCTTCCCAATAAGGGTACTTACAGTCCCAGGTGCAGCAGTCCTGGTCACAAATTGGCCACACTGCCCGTCATAGAACTGAGTTTTAAAGGGATAGGGGCCCCAAAATTCAGCAGTTTCACCACACTTAAGGGGAACTCTGGAGCCTCTATTTACCCCAATACATTTTAGTCCCGGGGCACAAATGGAGAAAACAAGGGAGCTGATGGAATAGAAAGGGTGGTGAGGCAGATGGAAAGCACTATTACTGCACCTTCAGCACAATTGCACCAGAAGCCAGTCATCCACCTTGGTACTGCAGACCACCACTGGCTGAATTTGAGGTTCTGAAGGCCTGTAAGGGGGACACTGTGACAAACCAGTAGTTTGGACAGTTATGTGTGCTCCCCCTGGAGCAAAATCCCTTACTCGCACGGAGCAAAGAACTGGGGGTGGCTGCAACTGGGACTATTACCATGTTCTGTATTATCTGAGCTGTCACCCAACCAGCGACTTGATTGAAGGGAAAAAAAAAATGATGTGAGGATTTCCAAGAGGGAAATTCTGTGTCCTAACTCCTAGCCACTAGGCTAATAACTGGGTTGTCCACCATTGTGGAGGGGCACCCGCTGAGCTGTCTTTTTTGTTTTTGTAATGCACCTAATGCCTAATGTCCATCTCCAGCAAGTGGCAATATACTCAGTTTGTGATTATCTAAAGCAAAGCTGTGTCCTCCAATTCAATCTAGGATCATGTAAAAGGAAAAAACCTTTAATGTGATGAAATTGGCGTTTGTATTAAATTGCCTAAAAATTTCATGTGTATGTACTGGGGGGAATTTATTAAAATTGGAACAGAACTAATCTGGAGCAGTTGCTACTATGCACAGCTGCTCCAGATTCTATCTGCTCTACTTTTAGTAAATCCCCCCCCCTTGTATTATCTGAGCTGTCACCCAACCAGCGACTTGATTGAAGGGAAAAAAAAAATGATGTGAGGATTTCCAAGAGGGAAATTCTGTGTCCTAACTCCTAGCCACTAGGCTAATAACTGGGTTGTCCACCATTGTGGAGGGGCACCCGCTGAGCTGTCTTTTTTGTTTTTGTAATGCACCTAATGCCTAATGTCCATCTCCAGCAAGTGGCAATATACTCAGTTTGTGATTATCTAAAGCAAAGCTGTGTCCTCCAATTCAATCTAGGATCATGTAAAAGGAAAAAACCTTTAATGTGATGAAATTGGCGTTTGTATTAAATTGCCTAAAAATTTCATGTGTATGTACTGGGGGGAATTTATTAAAATTGGAACAGAACTAATCTGGAGCAGTTGCTACTATGCACAGCTGCTCCAGATTCTATCTGCTCTAGTTTTAGTAAATCCCCCCCCCCCTGTGTTTTTATAGTAATGAGAGAGTTCAATGGTGAGTACTGGTGGGCTTGATGAGGTTGTGTGTCTTGACAGGTGGATATTGCATCTGGAATGGCCATTGAGGGAATGTGCTATGGGCAGGTAAGTGTTATTTATATTTTTAAAGAGGAACTTCCTTTTAGAGATATTTACCTTTTTTGGGTCACATGCCAATTAAAGGGTAAGGATGTTATTTGCCCCAAAGAGACAGTAGGTCAGAAATATGTGGCAAAAAGACAAAATGTAGATTTAGATGTTTGCTAGTTATGTGATTGAATTGGAATGGAATTTGTGAAATATAGTGATGTGCGTGGGCTTAGCGTGAACCATGTTCGCCCAAGCCCACACAAAACTGGCAGGGACACATCCCTTATTTTGGCCCATTCAGCTTTGGCTGGGGCATTCTCCAGCCTGCAGCTACATGTTACAAAGGCCCCGGCCACAGCTGATTAGGAGTGTGGGATGGGGGTGGTGTCACTGACAGTTTTGCCCAGGCTTGGGCAATCTTGGTTCACACCAAGCCCGTGCACTTCCCTAGTAACAAACAAGTAGATTAGAAGGAAATACAGCTTTGTCATAACAGTGTCATGTCCCTTAGGTTATTCCTACCAAGGATCGTTTAGAAGGCATGGCGGCATTTCAGGAGAAGCGTCCACCACACTATAAAGGGGAGTAAGGACCTCATTATCAACAAGCATCATTTCATAAGTTCATGCAAATATCTTTTATAGAATTGGCACCATAACCAGCCCCAAGCATCCAGTTTAGGGACCGTGTTGGACTTGTATCTCTTAGGAGATTCTGCATGTGCAGGGGAGAGCTCCGGCGGCGCCATCTTGGCTGCGTGTAAGGAGGCAGCCTTGGAGGCCGCGGGTGCCGTTTTGCTGAAGAACCGGGCCAGTTCTCTCGAGGTGGGGCCCGTTTTATGCTGCTTCTTCCCCTTCTTCCTCTGGTCACTCATGGTCGGCGGAGGGGAGAACGGATGGCTGCTGTCTGCCTGGTTTAGTGCCCTGTGAGCGGGAGACGAGCTGAATCGCGTCTTACCGCTCCATGCGCTAGGCCACGCCCCTCGACTTGTATCTCTTTTATCGGGTCAGTACAAGCTGCTGCCACAGCACAGAATTTGATGTGACATTGGGTGGACTCCTTTCTGTACTCCGGTGTTAAAACCTTGTACTGCTCATACATGGAAATCTGACTGCTTAAAGAAAACTATTTTTGCAAAAAAAATGTAAAATGTATCTGAACAATAATATAATAAAGTGTAGCTTACCAGTCCTTAGATGTGGTGGCTGCATTCGTTTTTTTTAAGGCTTTTGTTCTTTTATTTAACATGTTGACTAGTAATGGGCGAACTTGTTCAGGTTTGAGTCACGGGTCCATTTGGTGAATGCGCATGGGAGGCAAATCTTGAAAATTAATTCAATCATATTTCAAGGTTAATAGGCAAAGGATTGTCAAGCAAAACCCTTACCCACAGAACCCACCCATATCTACAACATCACCTCTTGCTTGCCACCGGCCGCATACACCATGGCTTTGTAGCCACCCTAACAATAGAAACACTTGTACCTGACTCTCCTCTCCCTATTCTGGCTATGCTTACCTGCCCAAGCATACACCCCTACCCATAACCCACATCGGTCATTGCTCAGTGAGTTCTTTTACCCACAGAACCACAGCCATGGCACTGAGGTCTGCCTGAACCACAACCCCCCCATCTGACAACTCTTACCTAACACACTACCTCAAGCTTACCCCCACTTGTCTGCCATTTCTATATGGCTGCTCCTCCATCAGCAGCTGGCTATAGTTTCTGACAGTACAACCCCCATTTGCCATGGCTCTGTGGTCACCCTTAACCACAACACCACTCGTCTCTTATTCCCACAAGAACATCCTCTGAGGACCAACCAACAGCTGGATTTCTCCCTGTGGTCTCTCTGCTCTAATGAGACCTCACAAGCCTTTTGAGCCACAAGAAGATTAAAGCCCTCCTAGGATGACAATGCATAACTTTCTGCCACTGATAACTGTTTGGTGTTGTTGTTTCTGCTCGAGATAAACGGACGTTGATAACTGGTTATTACGTTCAATCAACCACTAGTATTCCTCATATGTCTGCTAACCCAATGTTTTAGCCATATCTCACACCACCTTGCTCCATGGTGCAGCATGCAAGCAGACAGCCCTGCAAATGCTTCGTCATGAGTTTGAATCCTGGATGGGGTCTCAGTATAATTCTGAAGCAACAGTAATGCCAGTGAGTTGTTAGGCAACTCTCGCAATACCTTGAAACATGCCCTACAGAATCAGTAAGAGTAGTGTTAAGGGTGAGCCTAGCCATATGTCCTTGCCAGATGTGGGTGGTGTTGAGGGAAAGGCTTGTCAAGTGGTGTGGTTAGTGATAAAACAAAGCCACAGACACGTTAGCCTTTATAGAAGGCTGCATTACCGGAGTGAGAGACAAGGCACTTTTCATCAGGAAATACAAATTGCATAGGATAATGTCAGTGACACGAAGAATGTTTTGGTGGCTGACCAGCAGCAGTGGTAGAAAATGGCAGACCAGCATTGGTGGCAAGAGATGGTAATGAATGGCAGACCAGCATCGGTGGCAGAAGAGGGCATATGTGCAGCTGTTTAAAACACTGCTATACTCTGTATCTGGGAGGAAAAGGATGATGATAAACGCTTGGTTATCATCTCAACCACATCCTCCGCCCATTCTGGTTGTATTCACAATGATAATTCTACTATGCTTCTTCTGACCTGTATGTTCAGATCTGCCATTTAACTGTATACTTGAGATTTTTCTTAAATTTTCTTTGAGTTCTTTAAATTACAAGTGCTCGTTTTCTCTAAGGGACTTACTTAACATATTTACTTACCTGATCTGTGGTCCTGCTGGCTCTCTCTGGGCTGCTAGACCAGTCCCTGCAGCTTCTTCTGCCCTGGGCTCCGGCGGGTCAAAGGACTGATGATGTCTTCACAACTTATACAGGTCCATTGACCAGGGAGACTCTCATCAGTCTCCCATTCTCCCTATACTGCAGCATTCACACTGGGAGAGGAGGGAGCAACAAACCAGTAGAAGTCAATGCTGTAGACCTCAGGTGATGCACACTAACAGGAGAAGAGAGGACCTCATTAATGTACTGCTTATTCTTCAATAATGGTTGGTGCTGCGGGCTGAACAAGGCTCGTTTTAAAGGGCAACTCATTATATTGCAATGTTTTATTTTGGGATAAGTACAAAGTAGAGGGCATATACATTAAAATTTTTCAAAGTACACTTCAGAGAACTCCGAGATGCCCTGGCATATGGCTAGTATTGTGTAAGGAGCAGGAGAAGTGGTTCTTTTGACCTGTAGCAGCTTAGAAAAGCTGAGAATGAAAAGGAACACCAATATCAAATCCCAGGTGTAACAGCAGATTTATTTTGTAGTTTTGTTCAAGACCATTACAGAATACAATGTGTGAAACATCCAATGTCATGTACACACAGCAAGCTAAGAAATACTGTGGAGAGACAGATGTCAGTGTCTACAGATGTATGTGCTTTACATTTCAATATGAGTGACAACAGTTACAAAAATATGGTTGTTACCTGCTAGTTCCCCATCGTGATTCTGGCTTTACTACCTAGGGGGTCTTTAACAAATGGTTTCCATGCTTGTTTTCAGTCACGGACTTACAAAATAGTAAAGCAAGATGATACGCATAACAGAATCAGAGACTATGAATATCCTAGACAGATCCTAGAAATCCATCATAACAGGCTTACTTGAACTTAGGGTAACCATTGTGTAGTATACTGTATAAAGCAAACCTGGGCACCACGGGATCTCCTAGATATTTGGAAATCGCATTTCTTAGCAGGCTGTAAGCTGGTACAATCATGGTATAATGGGGACCTAACCTGAAGTATGTGTACAACTTGTAAAAACTGAAAGAAAAAAGGTGAATGGTCTTTTCCAGTAAATGTAAATCAGTAAATCTATTCAAATGATGCATTTCCTGCACTAAGGAAATGACAGCTGGACATGGGTTGCTATTGGTAAGACACCAGCCATTCCTTCACATTTCTAGCCAGGCCTGTAGGACAGACCAATAGAGCTAGCAAAAACCTTTTGGGGGATAGAGTGGGGAAGGGTTGGAACTTGTAGGGTTTTTGATAAGGTCTCCTTTGGAGAAATTCCCTCTAAGAAAGAGAATTTCTCCAACAGGAATAAAAACCTTGCTTTAGGTGTTCCCATTGCAGACATCTGCTGTCTTGGTGACCATCATCACTGGGACAGAAGTGCAAGAAATACTACGTTGTGGAGACATCAGATTTTAAATCTAACAAAAGATTTCCCACTCCAGGGGGAAAAAAAAGAAATGGTTGGAGTTCTACCTTGATTCTGTAGTCCATGTGGAAGTTTTGGGACCAATGATGAGGTACAATAATGGTGGCCACACAAAGACCATTATTTCATATAATAGGACAATCTAATAAATCTCTATATAAAAATGTGTGTTATTTAGAGAACCAAAATGAGTGCCCATGATTGAAATACCAGGAACTACCTTTTCCAAAGGATGGGACTGCTCAGGGGAGGCAATCAGAATCATTTGGCCACAGCATCTATGTAGATGGATACAGATTCCCACACAGCGATGTGAATGCTTTGCTGACTGTCCTCCTGTATTTAGATATTCCACCCAATTCTGATGCCTGTGTGTATGAGGCATTTTCCTGAATTGACACCCCACTGGAGGGGACCGATTTTATTTAAAGTCCACCTGTTATGGAACAATTAAGGTGCTTCCATTGCTGGCTTCCTTCTCAAGGGGCTGAACGTTGATTGGCTGTTATACTGCCCCACAGCCTTTATTATATTCCTAGTAAGTGAACTGGGACAAGCTTTCATATCAAGAAGTCATACCTCCATATCTGTATACTTGTTTCAGGTCAGTGGCTCAAAGTAGTAAGGCAATAGGGGTAGTGCAACAGCCAGACAACTTGCATTTTCAGGAGGAGTGAGCAATTGTAGCCTTTGTTTCACTCATGTGTTTGCAAGGACAATGGGGAGTCTTTTAAGACTGGACATTACAATGTGTGGGTAAATATATTTTTTTTACAATTGTTACACCATGGAACAATCCATTATTATTTTTTTAACAAAAACACTCTGTACAATGTAAACTGACTGTTATTTCACTGGCTGTGTTACATGAAGCACATAATATTCCCCAAATCTGAACTGTTAGGATTCATTCACACCATCAATCGGGTGTCCAGGGCCAGTGATCTATTACTAGCCCACGTGTAATTGTATCCCCAGACTGCTGCTTTCAAATGTGGACACTGTCACCCAATCATTAACTTGAAATGGGGACAGCTGCCACTTCTAAACAGCACATTTGGGGTTCCTGCTGCAGGAATAGCAAAAACACATGTAGCTGTGAACGAAGCCTAACATGGTCAGGGCACCCAATCATTAAAATACTGTGAAACTAGAACTTGTCAGATTCTTAAAGTGCATGTCCAGCCAAAAGAACTAGGCATGTGCATGGGGGTGCATTTGTTGTAGCACTAGGCAGATGCATTGTATTGCATTAATGTGCGTTAGATGCGCATTTTTAGGATTTGGAGTGGATGGAGATTACGGCCATTGATCTAGGTTTGGTAATACCTGTTGCCAATGGGTTGAAAAGAAAAATCAAATGTTATATTTTTCAAAACACACTCCAGTACCGAGAGGGGAACAGACATTTTTGTTATGGGGC